GACACAATTAATAAACGAATCAATTATAGGTGCAACTAATAAAAAAAATATGTAACACAACTAGTTTATATACCGGTTATACACAACACATAACCAATATAATATAATTTATTAGACACGAATTAATAAACGAATCCAATATAAGTAGAATACTTTTTGACATGAACTTGATAAGACCCGATACGAACCCGCTTTATCTGACACGAATGAGAGGCCTATATATACACATATTGTATAAAAACTATCACTCTTATTTGCAAGTGGAGAAACTAATAGTCACGATTTTCGTTTGTGACCCTTTCTTGGCAAATACAATGGTCCAAAGATAAGTTGCTTTTATAAGAGCACGACTTTGAGCCAAGCTTAGAGGCAAGAAGCTCTTTTGATTGAGAAGAGAGAGAGAGAGAGAGAGAGAGAGAGAGAGAGAGATGCATATGTTGTTGTACAAGTTCTTAGTTACTCCGTTGCTGCTTATGGCAGTGCAATGCGGAGCAACCCGTGCTTTGGACCCTGCACCAGCTCTTCCCCCAGAAGAAGGTAAATCACCATTTAGTTTTGTTGTAACTAAGAACTACTTATCAAAAGTAACTTTACAAAATCGCATTTAACATTTTCGCTTAAGATCCCCACTTTAGTCGGTCACTCCTGACATCAATCTGTCACATTTGAGATTTCTACAAGTAATTTAAAGGGAAAAATACCAATAAATCATACTTTTCTTTCAAATGAATGTTAACTCCTATCATATTTATCTTAGAATAATTAAATCCTACTTTTGACAATTTATTCCCAAAAAATCATAAACTCCTTTAATGATTTATTTTGTTTCAATTTTATTCTTCCCATAAAAAAATTAATTACATTTTTGTTTATAATTTTATACTCAATTATATTTATTGAAATTAATAATTTTTTTTATTAATCCAAAATATGGAAGGAGAGGTTAAAAAAAAAGTATAATTAGATGAGCTTTTCTCATTGTATTAATAGATTAGTTTTTACATTGTTTGTTAATTCATGAATAGTCAAGTGAGTCAAAATTTTATATGCTTCAAAAAGTCAAAAATAAGAAAAAATAAAGTTGTGTAATTGATGAAGTGTAGGACTTCTTGAGAATAAATTATGAAAATTAGGACTGAATTGCCACATAATAAACATGATAGGATTTAGTGATTTTTTGGAGGAACAATAGGACTTATTGGTGATTTCTATGAGAAACATAGAATATTAAACAGATACAAAAAATTTAGATGCAAACTTATATAGAGTATATAAAAGGGTAAATTGTATTGGAGGTCCCTAAAGTATGAGATTTGTCTTATTTTGGTCCCCAATATTTCAATTGCACCATTTTTGTCTATAAATTATTGAATATGTTTTTATATGGTCCTTTAAGCAGATAACGTTCAGATTGCTAACAATTTTTATCATAAACTTCTCACATAATATAGACAAAAAATAATTTTGATAGCTCTTAAACAAAATTTGGATAGTTCTTGACAAAAAAAAGTGTAATATAAGTAGTTTTTGACCAAAATTTGGATAATTAATGATAAAATTGTGTAATTTAAATAGTTATTTAACCAAATTTTTAGTAGAAATTTAGTCAAAAATTATTATTTTTATTTATATTTAAGTATCACGTGAAAAATTTATGATAAAAAATTATTAGCAATTTGAACGTTATTTGCTTGAGGGACCATATAAAAACATATTTAATATTTGAGAGACCAAAATGATAAAATAAAAACATTGGGGATCAAAATAAGATAAATTTTATATTTTGGAGACCTCCAATACAATTAACCCTATATAAAATATTGATATACTAAAATCGAATTTGATTGTGATCCAATATCATTGCACACAAACATATAAATATATAACAATTAAATCAGTAGTGAAATCTATCTAACATTAAAATTCAAAAACTAATCTTAAGATTACATTGAAACCATATTATTAGTTTATCAGATTAGAGATCTAATTCAATACAATTATTATATTGATAATAAATACCATATAATATTAAAACTTACAATTAATTCAATAAATTTTAAACCATTAGGCCATGTAATACTGCATCATTGAGATGGTGTAACGGGCTCAATATTTTTTCCCGTTCCATTGCCTCACGAGAAATAATCCTCTCTCTCTCACTCACTCTCAAGATCCTCCTACAACCAGTACGCTGCCATTCTTTCTCTTTCCTATTCTCCGATCAGCCCAATGTCGACAGTCACCACCACTTCTTCCTCTCTCCTCCTCTCCTACCAGTTGGGCGATGGCAGACACCGCCATCCTCTTATGTTCTTTCTCTATAGTATTCTCCAACCAGTCCCCCGCTCACAGTCAATACCAACCAGCTCAATCATCCTTAAACCAAAGCATTTGCCGACACAGAGCCCGTACTTGAAGCATTCAAAATTTAAATTCAGTACGGTGGATAAACCAACTTGCGTACAGTGAAGTTTGTTCTGAAATTACAAAGGTGAGTGAAACAATTTGCACCGAAATTTGCGCCAAAATTAACACGGTGAGTGATTGTCAGTGAATTAGTGTGCGAAAAGTAAGAGATTGACTACGTTTGTTTTGTGAATTTAGGGTTCCATTTTGTTTTTCCGGTATCCGAATGATTCAATTCTTGACCATTCTCAATTTGGATAAAATTATGCTGACCAAATTTGTTTAGCAAATCTTGTATTCTAAGTGATGTGTCAAAATTTCATTGAACATAGTGGACCCACTGATCCAACGATTTGAGATACAAAATTTGGTAAACAATTTACTCAGAATGATTTTGGTTCAATTCGAATTTTCCAATTTCCATTATGGATTCCCTTTGAAAAACTTTATTTATTTAATCTTTCCAATGACGAGAAAGAGAAAACTGGAAAGATAGATGACTATAGGAAGTTACGAGAGACATCAAATGTCAGTCTGACAAGTAATAAATTTTGAGGGTAATCTTATCTTAAGATAATTTGTTGATTAACTAGTTATTTCTCGTCCCTAAAGACACACAGTAATAAAAAAAAGAGATCAACAATAAACATATTTTTATTCATATCAAAGATCAAATCACACACATAGAGGATAAAGAAAGAAATTTAAACACCGATTATAGTGGAGGTGAGTAATGATAGTGGTGGTGGTGAAAAAAGGTGATGAGTGTGGTGGGTGGTGACGATTGTGGTGGTAGTGGCAGTCGTGAGCTGTAACGGTGGTGGTGATGGCAGGCGTGGACCATAACAGTGATGGTGGTGGTGGGTTTTGTGTGACAATGGTGGTAATGGTAGCCATGGATGACAGCGATTATGATGGTGGGTGAGTGTGGTGGTGGGCGACGGTGATAATGGTTAGCCGTTGTGGTGGTAGGGCGGTGACTGTGGTCGTAGCGATAATGGATGATGTCGATGGTGATGGTGATGGTGATGGTGGGCAATGACAAATGCTTATGAGCAACAGTGTGATCTGTGATAACAAATGGCGGTCATGGCAGGTGTGTTGGGCTGGTTGATAGTGAATGGCGACAGTGGTGGGCGATGATGGGTGGTAGTGGTAGGTGTGGTGAGGTTGGGTGCCAACGGCTGACGGCGATGGTGAGTGACGATAAATGGTGGTGGGTGGTGGTGGTGTGTGTTGATGGTGGTACTGGGATAGTGGTGGTAGTGGCAAGAAATATAAGAATGAGATGACGATGGTGGTAGGTGGTGCGTTTGATGACGGTGGCAACAATCGGTGATCGGTGGTGGTGATGCACGACGGTGGCAACAAGTGGTGGTCAATGGCGGTGATGGTAGTGGTGGTGGGGGTGGGGTGGGGAGAGGGGAGGTGGGGCAATGGTGGTGGTGGTGGGGTGGCGACAGTGATTGTAGTTGTTAGGGTTAGGGTGATGGAGGGATAATGACAGGTGAAGTGGTGGGGTGACAGCAGTGACAGTTGTGGTAGGGTGGCGGTGGTGGTAGTAGTGGTTGTGGCAACGGTGCCAATGGTGGTGGTGGGACGATGGGGGTGGTGATAATGTGGATGGTTATGGTAGTAGCAATAGCGTTGTTGGCGAAGAATTGTTACAAGGACTTGCGTGAAGAATCCGATGATGATTGTACTTTCTAAAATTTGATGCATTATCAATATATACAAAATTATTGAACTTGATAGTGATACAAACACAACAATTTATATCTAAAATCCTCACATCAAATAAAAAATAAAATTACACAAAAATTATTTTGTTTTTCACTTGAGAAATTTATACTAAAAAACCACACACACGCACACAGAAATTGAGTTTAGTAGTTTGGGTAAATATTATAATTAGTTCACAAACTTTGTCTTTTCTTTTGAAATGGTCCCTATATTTTTAATTGTCTTAATTTAGTGATTAAACTATTAATTTCATGTCAATTAAGTCATTCGGTTAATTTTAGCCATTAGCAAACAAGCCACATATTTGTCATATGATTGTCCACGTCATATGATGCTATTTGTTCTAATGGCTGAAATTGACAAAAAATCTTTAATTGAGATGAAATTGATAGTTATGAATTGAGACAATTAAAAATTCAGGATCATTTTAAAAATAAAATGCAAAGTTTAATGACTAATTATGATATTTATCCTAATAATTTTATAATAAAAATTTAAACTGGGTAGGAATGAATATTTATTACCCACCTTGTTCAAAATGACTATATCCAACCCATACTCTTTTCTAGAGCTGAATTTAAATTTAGATAAAAAAAAAACCCTTAAAAATCTTCCCCAATGTTATACTAAAACATACCAAATAAAGAGAGACTACAATCTTTACCCCTTTCACCAATATTAAATTCCATTCTTTTTTAAAAATCTATCCTCCTTTAAATTTGAGTTTGTTAACATTTAAATTTGAGTTGAGTTTCTCCATGGGAGAGGTTTAAATAAGAGTTAGTATTTCCATCGAAGATAGTCTATAACACATCAAAATTTTTGCTTCAATTCTTTGTATTTGCTTGCAGTGGATGCTGTGAACGCTCTATTTCAACGTTTGAAGACTCCTTTTTGGGAACTTGACCGTAACTTCTCCGCCGTTGACTGCGGTGTCAAGCTCAAAAATGAAATTATATGCAACTGTAGCATTGAGAACCACACGATTTGCAGAGTGACAGAAATGTAAGATCTCTCTTAACTCCAATGATTCCCAACTCTTCAATCTCCCAATTGGTCTTGTAATTTAGGTGACGATGTGTGTTCTTTCACTTTACTGAATTGGTTGTTAATTTTACCCTTAGACAGGGACGGACCCGATACGGTATGAAATCAATTGATTAGTATGAATAATTAATAGGTCAGGTTTGTTTTGGACAAAAATAACCCGTTTAATTGGTATTGCAAGTATTTTTCTAATTTTTGTATACAAATTATATGATTTGTTTTAGAATTAAATAATTTTTTATCGACACTAATATTAAAAAGAACACTACACTTGAAAACGACACAATTTAATATGGCACAAGATAAAAATAACACCACGTATTGATACTTCCAAATTGTCTGTTTGGAACATCCGCCATCTTGTTCATTGAACCCACTGGTGGGTTTTTAAAGGGTTCCATTGACATTTTGGTGATACCCACTCATTTTCAGGGTGGAAGATTGAAGTTGCTGGTAATGATTAGGTTTGAAATTGAGAGGATCTAAAACCAAGTAGTTTATATGAAAATGCTCTTCATGTATGATAATATTTATCGGGGAATTGTCTGCAAACAGCATACATTATGGGAGCTTATCCTCAAAGCAAAAAAATATGAACTTAAAACAGAATTCTGATGTAAATCTATAGTAACTTGAAATTCATTATTCTCCCCCACCGTTGTTCTCACTAAAGTGTTTACATCTTCATACATATCTTTAATAACATCAATATGCCTAATAGTAACATTTTTATTCTCAGAAACCATTTACAATATTTCTCTAGGAATTAAATTATATGTCTTCTCTAAATTTATAAAAATCATATGAAGGTCCTTATTTTTTCTCCCTTTACCTCTCCATTAGTCTCCAAAGTGAATATATAAGTTCAATTGTTGATCTTTCAGGCATAAATTCAAACTGATTCTCAAAAACTGTTGTTTGAAACTTTAATATTTGCTCGATCACGCTCTCCCAAAAATTTCATTGTATGATCGATTAGTTTAATACCTCGATAGTTTGTGCAACTTTGTGTGCCTTCCATAAGTACTTAGAAGGAAATCTTCTACTATTCAGGTTGTAATTGTTTGTTGGGTACTTCCATTCAAGAGGAATGTAAATTCTTTCTTGGCCTTACTCAATTGTGTCCTTAATGCAAACCCATTTCCAGGCACAATGTGCATACAAGACAGGGTGACACTGGCTCGCCCACCTGGAATTTTCCATTTCAATTGTCTTGAGCCTCCAGGTTGGTTTATTGTGAAAACATACCTAACCCCATGCTAAGGATCCAAAGATGCCCTCCAATATCCTTTTTCTGAGGTTTTCACAATGGTATAACTTGAAATAATTGTGAGTAAAAGGAGATACTCAAATTAAGAGTAAAACCCCGTATATATAGGCAAAATATAAAAATCATAATAAGGGTAAAAAAGGGAAAAGAAATCCTAAAGGGAAAAGAAATCCTAATAAACCTAGGAAAAGAAATCCTAATAAACCTAGACTATCTATACTCCAACACTCCCCCTCAAGCTAGGCGCAAAAATGTCAACTAAGCCAAGCTTGACAACGGAGTCCCGAAGAACAGACAGAGTGACAGGTTTGGTAAAAACATCCGCAACTTGATCACTGGTCCCCACAAACGATGGAGTAACAAGACCACTGCTGACCTTCTCCCGAAGAAAGTGAACATCGATCTCTATATGCTTCGTTCTCTCATGTAGTACAGAGTCAGAAGCGAGCTGAATAGCAGATTGATTATCACAATATAATGTGGATGGAGAGGTCACTGAAAAACCCAACTCGTCAAGAATCGATCGTAGCCAGATAATCTCACATGTGCCAAGTGCCAATGCCCGATACTCTGCCTCTGCGGACGAGCGGGAGACAACTGTCTGCTTCTTGCTCTTCCAAGAGATAAGATGAGTCCCTCGAAAAGCACAGAAACCCGTAGTAGATCGACCATCACATGCTCCCCCATAATCTGAATCTGAATAACAGGCTAGAGAACCGGTCTGAGATCCTGATGCATAAAACAACCCAAGTCCAGGACAAGACTTGAGGTACCGAAGAATATGATAAACTGCATCAAGATGAGGCTGACATGGCCTATGCATGAACTGACTAACTCGGCTGACTGCGAATGAAATGTCCGGCCTAGTATTGGCTAAGTAGATAAGTCTACCTACCAATCTTTGATAAACTGTCGGATCTTTCAACTCCTCACCTTCAGCAGTAAGCTTCAGGTTTGGAATCATAGGTGATGATGCCGGTTTGCACCCCAACATCCCAGTGTCTGAAAGAAGATCCAAAACATACTTTCTCTGAGAAAGAACAATACCTCTGCTTCTACGGGCAACCTCAATCCCAAGAAAGTATCGTAGAAATCCAAGATCCTTCACATCGAAGGCCTTCCCAAGGTCTATCTTGACCTGTGCAGTCCCAGAAACATCATCACCAGTAATAATAATATCATCAACATATACCAGAAGGATGACACACTGTCCAGAAGTATTCCGTCGAATAAAGCAGGTATGATCAGAATGACACCTGGTGAACCCCAATCGTATGACTACATCACTGAAGCGAGAGAATCAGGCTCGTGGCAACTGTTTCAGTCCATAAAGAGACTTACGCAGTCGACATACCTTTCCAGCATACTCCCCCTCACCACGAAAGCCCGGTGGTGCATCCATATAAATAATCTCGTCCAGATCACCGTGAAGAAATGCATTCTTCACATCTAATTGATGAAGAGGCCAAGAGTACTCCGCAGCCAGAGAAATAATTAACTGAACAGTAGTCAATTTTGCCACGGGGGCAAATGTAGCACCAAAATCACGACCTGGTACCTGAGTAAAGCCCTTCGCCACAAGTCTAGCCTTGTAACGATCAATAGTACCATCCGCAAGAAACTTCAGGGTGTAAACCCAGCGACAGCCAACAGGCTTCACTCCTGAAGGTAAGGAGACAAGATCCCATGTATGATTACGCTGAAGAGCGTCCATCTCTGTCTGCATGGCAAGAACCCACTGGGGCTCCCGCATAGCTTCCGAAATAGAGCGAGGAACCAGCGTATCTGATAAGGCCATAGTATAAGCTCGAAATGTGGGAGACAGATTACCATAAGAAACATAAGTAGAGATCGGATATAAAATCTTTGCGGTCCAACCATATCGATCAACTGGACGGCGATCATGTTGCGAGAAGGTGGCTTAAGCTCTGGATGGAGCTTCCAGCAAGTAGCTTCCACGGGTGAAACGCAATAGCAAAGTTTCACTATCAACAAAGGGAGATTACACAAAATTCTCTAATCTAGAGAATAAAACCAAACATGGATGCCCAAAATTGGGGGCCAAAAACTCCCCGTCCTGACTGAGAATACATCTCTGATAATGCGCTCCATAGCTTCGGAACAGAGCTATGAAACTGGTGGATCTTGCAAACAGAGGGCTCCATTGAGCCAAATAACCATCCAAGAATGGCACAGTTTTCAGAGAACTATGCAGAATATCCAGGGTCGGCATCAGCTGTCTTTGGGTGAGATCTTGTCAGCCAACCAAGCTTCCTTACACGTCCTAAGAAAAGCTGGAATGAGCGTGACCACTCAGCGAAGTTACGACCATTCAACAATTGTGCCGTAACTTTTTTGAGAGATCATGCCCGGTAATGCTGGTAATGCAACTAGACCCGTTGAGATCTCGTTCCAAGAACCTAGATTATATTAAAATCTAGACCCGTCTGAAGAACCCAAATTACAAGCAAGAACGCCACAAAGGATGTGATTTACCTTTGATAAATTCAAAAGTTCAATCAAGAACAAGAGGAGTAAACTCAACTCAATTCACAATCAAAATTCATTATAGATTGTCTCAACGGTAGAGGTGTCAACAGTAGGGTTCTCAAATCCCTCAGTAGTAGTCATATCAACAACAATACTAGGGCACCCGTGACAAAAAAAAAATAACTCTAAGATAAATAGAGGAATAAAATAAGGGAGAACAATATACCTTCAGTCGAACAGTAGCGACAAATAGGGAAGGTCCAAAAAGCTCCCAAATAATCAAGTCACGGTGCCCAGAAATCCAAAATATATAAATAAGTGATCTACTGCATCAAGGGCAGATCAACAGAATGTACAAGACTAAGGCCTAAAATTGAACGGAAGAGATTGGGCAAAAACGAGGGCCAAGACGAAGCGACGGTTTGATCAAGGCGGACAGCGACGGCGCCGTCACTTTAACCTCTCCTATTCAACTTTCAGGCAGTTGATGGCCAGGGTGGTTTCGGCGGTATGGCTGGTAGAGCCATACACTAACCCTATCCCAAACCCTAACCTTGCTCTGATACCAACTTGAAATAATTGTGAGTAAAAGGAGATACTCAAATTAAGAGTAAAACCCCGTATATATAGGCAAAATATAAAAATCATAGTAAGGGTAAAAAAGGGAAAAAAATCCTAAAGAGAAAAGAAATCCTAATAAACCTAGGAAAAGAAATCCTAATAAACCTAGACTATCTATACTCCAACAGTATATAACTTACCCGAGTATTGTTGTGGGACCCAGTAGCATAAGAGTGGGTCAATGCCTAGTCGATCTCACGACTCTCACCTTTAATACTAAGATACCATGTGGAAATGATTTTTTCAAGTACTTTTTTGTTTTGTATTTTTATTTTCCAAACTTGCTCCCTTCCTTTAAGTTAATCACACATATGGGTCTTACACTATTGTTACTTTTGTTTTGATTTATCAGTAGCTGAGTTATTATGAAGGATTTCACTGCTTTGTTTTACAGTGATTTGTCAAGTCGTGATCTAGGGGGTCGCATACCTGCGGAAATTGGAAATCTTACTCATCTAAGACTATTGTAAGAATAACTACACCATTTTTCTCAATTCATACATTTCTTTTAGACGTAGTTGAATTTTTATGTGATATTTGTAGAAATTCTTTACGCAAAATAAAGTCTAATTACACATTATGTCAGATCTCTAGTGAATATGGTTAAGGATATTTTTTTTACCTCATCCTAGTAATTGGAGCCACTTGCAAAATTTTTATATATAGAAACGCAATATCTATATGTGATCAAACCAATGGTTTGGGTGGACAAAGGAGCTGGGGATTGAGAATTTATATATTTATTTATTTATTTTTGCTGGTTAAAAAAGGTGGGGGCAAATGTAAGCGCCCAGAGATCACCCCAATAGGTTCTCATTGGAGGGATCATGAGGCTCCTTATTACGTACGTTATTCCTCGCGGGAACGACCTCACTAGGCTAACATAGCGGTCAATCATCGAGTTCTAATGTGAATTCTAAGATTCCGATTTTGATTGAGAATTTTTTAATATTATAACAAATATACAATTGTGAAACGTACCAGGTATAGGGGTGAATGTAATAGCTGGCCTGATCAGTTAACTCCAGCAAAGATTCTGCGATATGATGGGTTGAATTATGCTTTCACTTGTGATCAGTGCATCATTTGGTCATCAAGGAAGGCAATAAAAGGAGAAAGTGTCTGAGAGTGTGTATCTGTTGGGTTAGGTTTTTTTTTTTGGGGGGGGGGGGTGTGGGGGGTGAGGGGCACTTGACAATTATCTAAAATACAGAAGAAAAAAAAAGAAATTGAAGTACTTTGTTTCAGAAAATTTTTTGATATTAAAGAATGATAAGTTGGGATTGGGTAAAATGACCCAAAGCATATATATTAAGACTACATGGTTTTCAAGTACTCTCTCACACAGGCACTTCAAAATCCAAAGTGCAATCAATAAGGCACGCGAATTGAAAAATGAAAAACCAAATTCAGAGAAGAAAGTTTAAAGTCCTGTCAATTGCCAAATTTCAAGAAATTTGTGATATTTCTCACTGCATTTAGTTGTGATCTTTCTTTTCACCCTTGTATTTTGGCTGATGTGGCTGCTTGAATGGCAGCAATGGTAAACTTTGTGGGCTCTGTAAATTTTGTTTTTAATGATCACATTCTTTTTTAATTGTGATTTGATCTAGTTCTTTGTCACAGGGATTTGAGTGAAAACAAGCTACGGGGCTCGATTCCTAAATCATTTGGAAACCTGTCACAGCTCCGATTCCTGTAAGAAGTTTTAGTGATTTACTCGAGGGAATTTTTATTATAACTTATTTGCTCAACTTAATCTCTTGTAGATAGTTCTTTTGAGAATATTAATATCACCCACCATTACACCACCACCGCCACCATCATCATCATCACCTGCGATAATAATATCCTCGTTTCATCCCACACACACAAAAAATCTCAAAGGGTCCAATATGCCTTGAACTCAACTTCCCTTTTTACCAAATCTCACAATCTTCTTCCAAGGTGGAACCTTCAGGAGTACATAATCGCCCTCTTGAAACTCCAAGTCTCTTATCCGGTAGTCCGCATAACTTTTCTATTTGCACTAAATAACTTTTAGTCTTACTTGAATCACTAAACAACTACCTTCGAATTTCTAGTACACCAACGCGAAGCAAAAGGCCAATGCATGAATAGTATGCCCAGGCTGCCTGTCAAATTTAGAATGATAAATTACATTGAACTTCAAAGTGTTATCCATAACATGTTGCAAATTAGGCTAAATCTAAAGGTAAATTTTGGACTTCTATCTACTACACTAGATAATGATACTCTACATAATCATACACTCTCCCCAAATAACTCTGAACATACTTTCAAATGAATATTTAAGTTTAATTATCAAAATTGACTAGACTTCATCAATCAATCCACGATAACTCAAATAGATTTTTATGTCCAATTTGTATCCTGAAAGTCCTTATAAAAAATTCATAGTAATATACTCCCATTTTTATTCACAAATTGAAAGAAGTTGTGATAATCTATAGGACACTAATATTCGGTCTTTATCTATCAATGCAATACGAATTGGCTACGAATTCAACCATCTCTCTTTTCTTTCCACTCAACCAATAATAGTTTCTCAATATCAATATAATTTTGAACTCGCCAGATGCACATAGAATTATAGGTTGCATCTATAATGTCTCTCTTCGACGTATTCTCTTTTGGTACCTGTAAATGACGCCAAAATATAAACATAACCTCACCACAAATTACAAAACATATTATGCTACCATGTTACACCTCTTTTCTAATACTCTGCACATCCCTTCCCTCCCCCCCTTTTTCCTAGAATCCGTAGCGCAATTCTCAAATGATGTTCAGGTTCTTCCTTTATTCGAGAATACACAAATATAACATAAAAAATACAGTAACAAATGAACCGAGATAAGGTTGAAATACTCGATTTTGCCAATCCACAAAATAGATGTAGCATTTGTCAACCTCAACGACATCACCAAAAATACAAAGTGGTCATCTCAGTTTGACAATTATTTTCAAAACATCTCCATTTCTTTCTTTTAGCTGAGGATAACTCAATCTAGGATCAATCTTATTAAATACTCTAGTTGCTCACAGCTGATCAAATTAATTAATAATCAATATGAAGTAAAAGATATTTATTGTTTATTGCTACCTTTATTAGCTTGTAATAAACAATGTGAAATTTCACAATCCCAACATTTTATTTACAAGCACCACAAAGGCACGTCAAGACGAATTACTAGATTAAATAAATCCTTGATCTAATAAATATTCCAATAGAATTTCCAATTTCTCTACTTTAATAAACCATGCAATATAAAGTAATAAATATAAGTGAATTACTCTAGAAATACTAAAAAATATAAACTCTACATCTCTCTAGTAGCATAGAAAACTACTCTCGAAATATATTTGGATTTTTTTTTTACTATTGGTATCTCTTCAAGAGACATTCCCTCGTTCCATGTATCAATAATGCTAGCAATGTTCTCCTGAAAATCTTTCCTCACTAGTTTTCGAGCTTGCACTTATGGAGTTAAGACTGGGGATTAAATAATATGGGTTGAAGTTGCTGAGGGGCCCAGTGTCCTCGAGGTGAAGAAGGAATTTTGTTTTTTTATATGTTTTGAAGGATTAAAGCCTTAAAATGGTGATGTATATAGGGATTTGCCCTGGTTTTCTTCTTGTAATTCTCTTGGATTCATTCTATAAATTTTTTTGATTTTTTTTTAAAAATAATAATAATTCATGTCCTCTCAAGACCAAATCCATATGCCTCTTTTCAAAACAACCAACTGTTGTATGTTGCGTGACTAAGTAGCCCATTCTTAATATCACATCAAAACCTCTAATGTCTAAGAATACTCGATCAACTAGTAACCGATGTTCTCAAATGTGGACACTACACCATGAGTACACAACATTCACTAGCTCAGAATACTCATAGGAGTCGCCAAAATCAAATCAATCTCTAGTATTCGGGTTCCACAATCAGTCTCATTGCTACTTTTAAGAGGCAAAAAAAAAAATTGTAGACCCCAAAATTTCGTTAGTGTCAATCACATTTCTTACAGCACAGCTACACTCCCTTATTGCAATCATTTCTTATTTGTACAAAATACAAAACAAACTAGTTAGTCTTAGTCACTACACCAACCATACTATTAACTAGTAAACATCGTTCTCTATCCCTTAGACGAAAGTCAATCAAAGCCTACAGAATTGTTGAAGTTCAACCTAATCTTCTGGTAATTCATAAACCTAAGCTTTGATACCAAACTTGTTGCGCCCCAACCCAGATCACTTAGGGTGAGCAACGAACCAGCCACCAAGACCTTAACCAACCAACTAACCCCTGTGCATATTAAATGCAAAATGTAGCGGAAGACAAATAATAAAGTGATCATATCCACATACCTTATGAATGCCAGAGCAGTAAACTAAATACCTTCCAATGCTATTAATAAACCACAAGCATTTCCATGACCAAACACTAAGGTTTACAAATTAAATTTAAATAACATCACTCTCAAAGTAATTAAATACATTGTCTCAAATCCATAAATGACACTTATTTGTGAGAACCTATTTAAGACAATTCTTCAAGTTCTCTAATCTTTTGTTTGTTTTAAGACTTGCTAATCACTCTAATTTTCACTTGAAAAATGTTAAATGCTTTTATGAGCACGATGGTACGTGAGTAGCAACCACCTCTAATGAGGTGAGAAAATAAATTCTACAGTTTATATACAAGAAAATAAACTTTGATACATACATAAGTATAACAAATTGTATTCCAACACCTCTCACATAATCATTTAAACATTTATAAATGAAAAAATATTTATAACTTAAACACTTACTCATTTTCACAAATAACTTTTTAAATAAAAAGACATTTATAATCCAAATACCCACGCACACTCAATTTCAAATACATTTTCTATCATTTAGCCCGATAGTTAGACCTCATCTCATGTTAATTGGCTTAGTCGCTTATCATCACTAGCATGATGACTAACCCCTATATGCACATCCAAATACTGGTTACACCAGCATCCCTTCAATCTCATTACTATTTAGATCTGATAACTAAATTTTCGTCTCATAAAAATATGCTTTTAACACATCTCCCAAACCATTATTTTTTCCAACACACAAAATTCTCCCTTTTATCACCAAAACACATTTAAATAATGACATAAAGTCATCCCACATAGTTTCCAAAATTCACATGAATAATCACTCACAATTCTACAACATTTAATTCCAACCCCACTATTAACATATATAACATATATATGAAATATCCACACACACGCACCCACATGTTTAACATAGAAAATTTTTCCAAAAGAAATAGTAAATTAATCACCTTAGTTCCCAAATTTCAATTCAAATCCCCCTGTCCCAATCTCAATGTAATCACGACCTAATCCAAAATAATATGTAATGAGTAATCCCTATTCCAAATTTCGTAATTTCGTGATTTTATATTTAATTTTTGTACTCTCTACCGATTGATATATAATTTTTATACCATTTATATATAAATAATCTTTTTATATGAGATAATAGTGTATGGAAGTAGTTTGGGCAGTTCAGAAAATTTTTATAAAGGTTTGGGGCCAAATAATAATTTTTGAAACTTTTGGGGTCAATGTATAATTTCTTTGGAAAACCAATTTTTTGGAAGTTTTTTAAAACTAAAGAGGAAGTTTTGTAATTTTAGATATACCATCTTCTTCTCCTTGCGAAAGTTGCAGAACCTACAACTTCTTTCTTTCTGTTTTTCTCTTTTTTTTTTTCTTTTTAACACATTGATTAAATTCTTTAAAAGTCTCATAACCAACAAATCTAAATTAGGTCTAATTGATTAATAGGGAGAAATAAAAAAGAATATAATTGATTAATAGTTCTGGTTGATTAAATTCTTTAAAAGTCTCATAATTCCATAACTGACACTCTAACCAAATAAGAAAGTCTGAATTCTCTCCTCCTAAATTATTCACGTCTGACAATTATTTGTAAATGAAAATATATGCCTTATTCCGATATTACAGTTACCTCCGGGATAACTTTTTGGAAGGACCCATGCCACCTTGCCTTGGCGAATTGAAGTCATTGGAACTTATGTAAGTTCGTCTGACACCTTTTCTCCCGCCATTGTTTCTTCCATATGCATTGCTTGAAAATTCACAATGCCTATAAATCATGAGCATCTCTTTCAAACTTTAGGAATTTGCACCTAGAAAAGTGTCGTAGAAGATCAAGTAGTGTATCTTTAATTGAAGAATAAAGTTTCTGAATTCCACAAGCAAGTTTTAAAATTGGCACCCAGATTATTTTTTAATTCGCTAAATGAATCCACGAGGGCAATTCTTGGTACATCGGTAAGATTGCTCCAACGCAGGAGTGGAAATAGTCTCCGTATGCTTACGTGGATGCAAGGGGCCCAGGTGGGCCCTTCCTCATCCTCAACTTTTTTTTGAAAATTATATATATATATATATATATATATATTTTTTTTTTTTTTGAACACTATTTAAATCTATTGCTTATTATGCACATCCTATTACTTCTCAATTACTATATAGAAAACTAGGTGCTACTTTCTTTGAAGACAGCATGTGTTATAAGGAATAACATCTGCTAAGACCAGCCTTTGAGCAAACTTTTGCATTTCTTTTTGTGCTTGGCATAGTAACCACATCAGTTAAGTTATTGTTTTCCACTATATTTATTGCTTCTTTTTCTATTGCCACCACAGAGACCTCTCCAATAATTGGTTTAAAGATTCAATTCCATCGGCATTAGGTGCCCTGCCATCTTTAACATTCCTGTAAGCAATCATGTGCTTCGCTCCTTTTCTCCGCATCTGATACGTGTTTTATTATGAGAAACAACAAACTTTGTACATGAAAGCCAACCGTATTTTTTTTTGGGTTTGTCTTAGGAACCTACAAAGTAATGTTCTATCGGGGCCGATTCCATATGAATTGGGGAACGCCTCCAGGCTTGAGTTCCTGTATGATTTACAAAAGTTGTCTAAATTCGTTCATCTTTTGGTGATTATTAGGTAACAGTTTTCTGATTTACTTTCTTTAATGTAGGATTTTGTCCAACAATCGACTCTCGGGCCAGCTTCCACATCAGCTTGGGAAGATCAAAAATATGCAATATATGTTCGTCTCTCTTCTACATTTGTTTGGTTATTGATAAAAGAAAAGTTAAATTTTTATTCCTGCATATTTCATCGTCTAAACCTTGAGACAGCCCCCAACTATGGCAACAAAACATTGGGTCAATGGAGGCAAAACTCCATTATCTCCAATGGTAAAAAACACAATTTTAATTAACTCTTTTTGACTAGAATTCAACCCAACCACTTGAGCAGAAGCCAGTTAAGTATATATAGAGCCTACTTACCAAAAAAAAAAAAAGTATATCCAAAGCCAGTCCACGCATAAATCGTGCTAGTCAAATCTCCTTTTTTGTTTTTTTTTTGTCATTATTTTGTTGCGTGCTCCCTTACGTCAAAGCCAGGTCAGTTGTGTTAGACAACCGTGGAGAAAAAACCAGTTATTTTTTAAATGAACGACCAATCTTATTTTAGTCTCAGAACAACCAATTGAGTCAATTTGGTCTTTATTTAAAGTATCAAATTTTTTCTTAAATGGTCCCATCGATGACTGTCATTTAAATTAACAAGGGAATTAGTCATATGTGATACAAGTGAGAAAATCTGAGGAGCATTTGAATCAAATGGGTCACACCTAACCTGCCTACCCTCTCGGGTTTAATATATATATATATATATATAAAGAATAATTTTATTATCGAATGGAAGAAGGAGAAAACAAATTACAGTATGAAGGACAAGGCATCCTCTAAAATAAAAGGAAAACGCAAAAAACATATCAATAAAACATTCACAATGAAGGCTAAGATAACGCCACCTTCCAATTCTGTTGGAGATTGGACAAAGACAAACCTCTAAAGCTACCGGAAGCTTTGGACAAAAGTGAAGTCATGTAAACAATTCTTTCCCATACTAATGCTACAGAAAGATGACGATTATTGAAAATTTTATCATTTCCTTCCATGCAAATACACCGAAGAGTTGTCATGATCGCATAATTTCATAATACCTTCGCTTTCTATTTATCCTCCAAACCCCAAAACTTGATTTGCAAAATCTTTTCTACTGTAGGAGAACAAACCCAAGCCTCACTAGCCTCCTGAAACAAAGTATTCCACAAACCCCATGCAATTGAACACACAATGAAAAGATGAGCATTAGACTCTCCACTTCTTAAACAAGTAAGACAAATATCAGAGCTTAAAGCTTTGTAAAGGTCCCCGCACCTACAACAATTCATTAGTATTAACCCAATTTTAGGACAATAAACAAAAAAAAAGCCTTATTTTCGAGGGGACCATAGCTTTCCAAATGAATTTAGCTAAGGGGAATGACTCTTTGTTCTGAAGGCTAGCAAGATATGAATAAAATGATCTACAAGAAAAAACATCAGAATTTTCAATAGTCCAAATTCTTTGATCATAAGAAAGACTGGGGTGGAAATCTTGGAGAAGATGAAACAAAGAAGTCAAATCAATTGCTTCCCTATCATTAAGATGTCTGAAGTGTTGTTTATGGTTTTTCAAATATAGTAAGATTACTTATTGAAATCTTTGATTTATATATTACTGTTTCGATGTTACCGTTTGGTATCACTGTTTGTAACTGTTTAAATTAAACACATAAACAAAACATACAACTTTAAAAAAAAAAAATCCAAGTATCCCAAAAATACTATAGACTGTAAAAAACAAGTTTTAACAATTTGTAATATTTTAAGCCAATTTAAAATTCTAATAACATGAATCAGAAACACAACAAGCAATCATACGAATGAAAAATCTATCTTAAGATTGTTGTTTGTGATTTCCCAAATATAGTAAAAGTACTTATTGAAATCTCTGATTTTATATCATGCAACTTAGAATAAAACAATAACAGTAAAAAAACGAAACAGTTGCAAATAAATATGTAATTAAACCAATATATAGCTTGACCCATATGCATATCAAAAACTGTTATTGAACTTTCTGCAGATCAAGGCTAATGTTTGACAATGTCCTTAATACAAATTTTACCCCCACACTTAGTGCTTATGGAAATCAAAACGTGTACCTCCCAATATACGATATTCTTCATGCGAATATAAGTACCACTCCAATCTAATCGCCCAGCGAATCGAAATTGTGTCATGTACTCTCAGAATGCAGACTGTCTTAATGACTACAAAATTCATTGATGAAAAATGAAATGAATATGGTTAATTTATAAAGAGAATGGTGATTGATCCGGACAGTCACCATGTGAACTAATGCAACCCAAAAGATACATACTACCCGAAGACATCATTGATTAACTATTTATTATTGAACAAACATTTCTCAAAATTCGGACTAGAGGGAAGGGAAAAACCCGAACCAGTGAGGATTCAAATTCAATGGATATCAGAAATTAAATTTTGAATTAAGAAATTCACGCCCAATTAAATAAAAAAAATTTCTTCAAAAAGATAAGTGTTGGTCACACCCACACCCGAGCCAAAGCTCGACTGGGTCGGGTCATGGCGATGCAAGGCGGGCGGAGTGTGTATGGTCGAACCAATGACATGTAGGCGTTCATTTTGCTCATAAAAGTGTGGTACCCCTTGGGGCTCAACTCATGGAGCAAACTTGACACAGATATGCAGAAGTAGAATTTTTTTCTCAACTAATGCCCGATTGGTTTTAAATTCCACATTGCACAACCTTTATTTTTACATTTAAAGAAGATCACTTTAGAGCCTATGTTCTCATTCATTTCTTACTCGATTTGAGTAAGTGAATATATTATGTTATTCTCCTCATAGAGTAGAACACAAACCCACGAAAGTTTACTCAAAATGATGAGCGGATCCTACTTTAATTTAGGCTAAAAGTCGACCAAAAATTAGATTTTAATTACCAAAATCTGCTTTAATCCAACAATCTCTCACATGAATGAAAAATTGGCTATTAGTATGCAAATGATAATACTTACGCACTATAGAGAGTACATCTTAGAAATATCATACATTGTGATAGGTAGCTTTTAGCCTTAAACCTTCTCTAGTAAATGCCCATTGGACTTACTTGCTAAATAGTGAACGTGATGTTTTGAACTATTCAGCTGTTTGATAAATTAGATCGAATAGAATTTACACAATCTCTTTCCTAACACAATTGATTCTCATGATTGTGTTAATTTTGGCCCTGAACAACTCTTGATTTTCATGAATGCTTTAGATAATTTAGATTTTATAAATTCTCACAAAAGCGGCCCATTCATACCTATATAGGTGACTCT